AAAACCCCAAAACCCCAACACCCCAAAACCCCAAAACCCCAAAACCCCAAAACCCCATTTTGTATTATATATTTTGAAATTTAGATAGCTATTGCTGGAGAGCTTTGTTTTTCAGGTCTCTTGATTCTTTTACTTAGGATAGAGTAGTCTCCTCTAGTAAGGATAGTTGATTTTTCAGCTATGGTATTATCATCCTAGCTTACTGTTTCTTGGTCCATATTTGTACATTCTGGCGTCTAGAGGGTATCCTTCTTCTCTGTATACATCATTACTCCCAAATTTGAACCTTTCAAAAGACTTGTTAGGAGTAATGTGCTTGTTGAAATGAGTCAGGCTCTCCTTTGTCTTTGTATTGATTGATTTTAATGGTGTGTTCTTCTTTTTGGAAGCATAACCGATGCTATCAAACGCATCTGGGAAGGAATTTCGTTCATCAAACTCGTGAGATTTTCTAAAAGTGAATCTTTCTTCACCCTCTTCTTCATTTTCTGAGCTCAGGTTGGCATCAAACTGGCTAGTTGGGTAATCTGGCTTCCTGATCAGTTCGATTGGAATAGTCGTTCTATGAGGGCTGATGAAAGGGTTTTGAACTATAAGGTGGTACAAGAAGATTACTCCGGTCATCATCTCCTTCAACTTCATCGAACTCTAGTTGCCGGTTGACGGTAATCGGCTTATCATTGGTATTAAAGTCTCAAGCGATATTTCTTTTGTTCTTCTTTCTATTTCTGTTCAGGTATAATCTCGATCTGGTTCTCTTCCATAACATTATCATTTTCAAAGGAGTCTAGACTTTCCGTTTGCTTAGACCGAATCGGGACTAAGTTGACTCCTTTCTTAGGACTCATGCCGATGGAATCAGTGAAGATCCTTTGGGTTTTGTTATAGTTTGTACTACTGATAACCCTGTGGTTAAGGTTCACCGAGTCTGTATTATGTAGCTTCTCTATATATTAAAACAGCTGAGATTTACTCCTGAGCCCTTTGAGGTTGCTATCAGCGTTATATTTCCCAATAGTAGCTCCGAGGTTGCTTCTTTGTCTAGAGAAGGTGCTCATTGGTTTCTTTGTACCGCTTGCATTAATGACCAAGCCTGTTGGCTTGCTCTTTCTTTGATCTAGCTTAGTGTTAGGGGACTCGTAAAGGCTGTGCTCGTCAATTTCTTCCTCATTCTGGTTATTTTTGAGAAATCGTGTTCTTTTTGGAGTCTGAGTACTTTATGTTGTTGTATTCAGGGGATTCAGTGATGTTCTTAAGCTCGGAGAGGCGTGAAGTGGGAGAGAAGTTAGTTGGGTTTGAGTGGCGGGTTATTTTTGTCTCAGGAGGGACTTGACTTGGGCTCTAGGGGTGAGGAAGAAGAGTACTTCGTTTATGATCCGGTCACGTTCGCTTGCGAGTTTGGAGAGATTGTCGAGGTCTATGATGGTGTTGAGAGAGTTTAGAAGAGGAGTAGAGGTGATTTGTATTTTTGGGATTTTGGTTTTAAGTGGGAATTTATGTAAACGAATCAAGGTAATTTTTGAAGAGTTGGGAATATTGCTTCATAAACTTCAGGAATTGTATTTGATTGTTTGTATTAGCTCTGACCCTACCATCTATATTATCTTGGAAGCTATTAAGCTCCTTTCTATTTTTCCTCTTCTTGTCAGACTTGATGTCCCTAAAACATTACTTTTATCGTACTTGTCTATGACTAAATATTTTGATTTCCTGAGCTCTCTCGGGTGAACTTCATCTTGGTTCCTAAAACTAACCAAAGGAGTTACTTCTCACTTGGCTTGAAACTAGTAGCTGGTTTGTACATATTGGACTTGAACAGGTTCCTTGGCTCACTTCTGTAGGTGTTGCTAGGGCATTAGTAGGAATTTGATACCTCTTTTGAAAGTTCCTTTGTCGTTCAATCCTTTCTTTAAACCTTTTGACTCCTTTTTGGATATTTATGGGCTGCTAGAGATGACCGCTAGCTCGTTACCTTCTTATCTCTGATGTAATTACTGCTTTGGATGATACTCTCGTTTCTTTGGTGGATGGTCCTTTCGTCAGTATCACTTATCTGAAAATCTTCATTTTCAGGGTCACCAGATTTGTCGAAGGATTGGCGAATTTTGGCGATACCGTTTGGCATCCGTGATGCCAAGGAGGCACCGCCGAGTACTTTTTGTGTGTCAAACTTTTTAGTTGCCTTTTGGGGGTAATCTCTATGAGATAGGGATTCAGGGCATACCTTTGAGCGGAATTTGTCACAACATCTTCAAATGTCTTTGTATCTATTTTATAACTCTTCCTTGCTTGGCTTCGCTAGAGATGAATTTAGCTAATTTAGACTAGAGGATTATTAATGGTTTCAATTAGATATAGCTTATTCCTGATTTTTATGGCTACATCAGGAGATGAAGCCAACTTATTAATCTTCACTTCCTTTCAAAGTTTCAATCTTAGTTACCTTATTTTCTTTCTTGTAAAGAAACATTGGGGATTTATTTACATTTCCTTCACTTGGGATCAGAAATTTGGTATCTTGAGAATAAGGGTTTCTATAGTAAATTAGTAACTAAGTGTCATAAATAGATCACAAAAGAGCAAAACAAGGTTTGGTATGCTATTCCCATCTTTGCCTCAATTCGGACCGATCATAGAGAAGACCTTCTGCTAGTTCTTACCTAAATCTCGCTGCTGTTGCGACTCCAGGAGCCAGAATTTTATGGTCAGTAGCAGGAGCTCTTTCTTCTGACCTGTATTCCTCTTCTTCATCAGACACTTGGATCGGTAAGGGAGACCTTACCGTCTCCAGTGGTTTATAATGGTTGGCACTGGACAGGCGACTGTGTTCCTTCTTGCTATGGAATTTCCTAGGAGCCTTGTTCTTGATCCTTTGCTTGTCCCTCAGATTAGCCTCTATTCGCAAAGTCTCCTTCGGAGAGGCTGCAAAGGGATTCTGACTGTGTTGAAGCTGACCATGATTTGGAGTCTTAGGAAAAGCAGGCTGAATGGAAGGAGCTGTATTTGGAATGTAGGAGTTCAGTTTTTGGCCAATTTTGGGAGATTCAGATATTAGAGAGGGAAGAATGAGGCTAGAGAGCTGCTCCTTAGTGAATTTTGGGCCAAGGGATGACAGCTCCTTTTTAGAAATTTTGAATTTGTTAATGTCTTCGAAAAAGTGATCAAGATCGATATTTCCTTCTTTGATGAATTTATTTTATCAGCTGTATCGCATCTTCTTCACTGGAGATAGACAGTTTTGGGTGCAAATAGGAAAGAATATTGAGGATCGTTCCATAGACTGACTTCCAGCCAGATACTAAGAACATGTCTATTATTCAAAATGAAAGTTCAATGCTGAAATCCATTGTAAAGAGTGTGATAATCCATTGAGTAATAACAAGTGCTATAATTGAAGCTTCATCCTTAAAAAGCCTCCTAAGTTTAGGGATGTACTTATTTAACTCCTTTTTGAACCAGAGCCATGAACTGATTTAGCTTGTCAAATCCATTGAGGTATACCTCTCCAAGGCCATAATCCTCTAAAATTATCGTCAGCATGCTAAATGCTTCCTCCTCAATAGTTGTTTTCTAAAAATAACTTATAACTCTTACGCTAGGTGTTGTGTTAAGGTCGAATCCTCATTGAAGGAGTAGAGTTCCAGCCAGGAAGTTGAGGCCCTGGATGTACCCAACATCTTTATTCCGCATGGCGTAAATAGCCAGGATGTTGATCAAAGAATGATGGGAATCAGTTTCCTCTGACAATGAGTTATGAATATAAGTTCTTTTGACATCATTCTTGATTTCAAGGTAATACTCCGACCTCTTGATGTTACAGTGCTTATTTGTTCCTGTAATATTCCATGTATTCTTGTCTTTTGGGGAGGGATTTCCACAGCTTCATCCTTTCGATTGTGTTAAGACCTCTTCGGACCCTTGAAAAATATTTTGAATAAGATGACTTCTTTTTCATTACTAAAGGTTAGGGAAGTTCATACTTTTTGAAGACCTTTGGATCTGGTCCTTGTGGTTTGGAGTGTCGGTTGAATGCTTCAGGTTGAGATATTTACTACTGTAGAGATTATTTTGACTCCATTGAGTTTGAAATTGTGCCTACAATGGTTTATTCATGGTTTTACCAGAGTACTGAGCTGGTCTTAGTGTTTCAGTGATTGTGTTATTAATCCCTTGCATATTTAAGTTCTTGAAAGAGGTGCTACTGCTTATTGAGGATGCATTTTCCCTCCCAAATGGGAAACCATCGTCGAAATCTATCGTTTATGATATGGAGCTTACTATTTCTGAAATTATTTTTCATCTTGTGATTTTACTCCAGGCAGGAAGTTCGAGAATTTAGCCTAAATTGTATAAGCCGAAGAAGTATACCTTTTTGTTTTTATCTTCTTTCTTTAAGCTTTGCTTTTTGCTCTCAAAGAACTCATTAAGCTTGTTCCGATTGAAGGAGACTACTTTGTCTTTAATAGCTACTGTCTCGGCAGACGAGGAAGATTTGAGGTCTTCCTTCTCAATCTCTTCAGCAAGGTCAAAGTCTTGTTGCTTTGGTTCGATCTTATTCCAAGAAGAGGTATGGCTACTCTCAGATTTCAGTGTCATTTGACTGATTTGATCTTTACGGTAGAGCGGTTGCTCCACCTCGTTGATCTTATCATACTTCCTGGAAACCTTGAAGGTCCTCTTCCTCTGTTTTAGCAAGGTGTTCTTGGTAAAGGACTGAATGCTAGATTTTAACCGGGGAATACCACTTTTTCTCTACTGAAAGTTTTAGGTTCTCTTGAAAAGATGCTGTCTCGCTTTTGGGAATTACACCTAGGAGGGTAGATCTATAGTATGAAGGCGAGTAAGTACTACATCTTTATCTCTGATTTGTAGTGAATCGATTGGTTTTTGGTTCATATTCTAAGAAGTTAGAGGGTTGTCAAGATCGACTGCTTACTCTGTAAGTTTGCTTGCTTTTAAATTTTATTATGCTTATCTATTTTGTCAAGGATATAGAATACTTTTGAATATCTGTCTGTTGATGCTGACAACTTTGGTAAAATCTGATTTGTCAGTGATGTTCTTTCCAGAAGTGGAGTGAGTCTGGATCTGCTCTTGACTTCTTTTGCGTGAGGTAAGATCTGGATGAAATTGTGTCAGAAATTTTGAGAAAATGATATTTTTAGTATTATTAATTTGATTAGAGCTTAGAAACTAGTTTATTTGTTGATAAAAGTGAAATACTGCAGATGCTATGATTTTAGACAGGAAAATAGTTAAAACTGGATGATGTAAGCGTCATAGCCTCTTTTCTCTTTCATAAAATTAATTCTTCCTTCATCCGAGCTCTAATCATTCCCAATATTAAACCTTTCTCATCTCTAAATTCACCCAAAAATCATCCAAACTTCTTCTACTCACCTCCATTCTTCACTCCCAACTCAAAATTTCCTGCAACCCCAATCATAATTTTCAAAAAATTCTATTCAAAATCCCCTCTTATTTTATCAAAATTATCTAATTCTAATCCAAATCATCATATCCAAAAACCCTTCTAGTCCAAAATCCTATTTCACACCCTCTAAATCCTTCTAAACCCCTCTAATCCCTCTCCTAATCCTAATTTAGTAAATTTCCTTAAATCTATTTCTTACTGTTAGCATTCATTGTCCTTTAAATATTCTATAATTTCAATTATTTTCATAATATTCGGGGTTTTGGGGTTTTGGGGTTTTGGGGTTTTGGGGTTTTGGGGTTTTGGGGTTTTGGGG